GCCCTTGCGCTTGCAGTGACGCGCGCCCGCCTCCCGGCGGTGAAACTTGTGAAACAAGCGCGCCCGCAGTGGCGCAAAAGCACATGGTTATTAGTTAGGTGATTGTAGCGTGATGCACTATTGGGCCGCGCGCGCATCCAATAACGTTTCTCGCAACCACAGATCGGCGAAATTCGAAGGATTGACATCGTGAATAAAGGTTGGGTGAAACATATGGTTAAAATGTTCCCCTGCGGCGAAATATTTGTAGGTTTATAACCTACCAGGACGCGCGCCGAGTTGGACTCGTCGACGGTCAAATATATGGAACAGATATTTTGCGAGTATCACCCGTTAAATTTAATTGACGATGTCAATTCATTGCAGCTCGGCGAGGCACAGTAGCGCATTTCGCCGATCTAGCGAGAGCTAGAAGCTGCGAGAAGCCTCATTGAGTGCGTGGCGCGGCACAGTAACGCATATCATCGCGCTACAAGTTTTGAATTTGAGACAACGAAATTGAGTAGGTAGTGCGCCATCGACAGTGAGCCGCGCGTGCCGACTGTAGGATGGTTTTTTAGCGCTAATTTCGGCCAGCACAATTTTCTTCACACAAATAAATATTAAATATCCTTCCCGACCTCCGATTGCAACAAAAATTGGTAAGCCTACTCATAGACTTACAAGGAAGGTGTCCGAAAAGTTTAAAGCATATCCAACCATCAGACATTATGTTACAGCTAAAAGCAGCGTATTTTGCTCCATTTTGATCACTATATCAACTCCGATATCCACCAAATTTTTCGGACAGTTGTGAAAGCCCTATTGGAAGGTCGTCGCCAATTTTCAGAATGATCTCATTCAAGGAACTGAAGATATATCCAAATAATACGACAAAAATCTACGAATTTGGTCAAATTTGGTCAAATTACGCGACTTTTACAGCAAATTTTGCTCCAAAAGCCGCGCACCATCAAATATGGCACCTAGGCGAAACTCACTGATCTTTCCAAAAAGGTATGACAAATTTGGTATTGTGAAAATTCTCACAGTCTCTAGAAAACAATGGTACAAAAATTTTTAAAATCCGAGCAAGTTTATTTTTATGGTGCACCCCCTAAATTGAGACAATGTATTGGTTGGTAATAACGGATCCTGAAGAATACTGGCGAAATGATTTTCACATCTCGGTCAGTCTTCCCATCAAAGAGGATACATTTTTCGATTTCGTCAGCTCTTTTTGTTACTGGGCGGCGCTCAGCCTGTCATTCCGCCGTATTTTTATAAACATAATACATAATAGCCTGGGGTCCCCAGGTAACTCTTCTTGTAGGTTTATAATCTACCAGGCCAGGACGCGCGCCGAGTTGGACTCGTCGACAAATATTTTACGAGATGTGCAGCTGGGAGGAAGAACGAATTCAAGAAAAGTCTTCGACTCGGTGTGTTTGGAGATCCGGAGGCCTTCCTCTTGAGCGTTGTTAGGAGTTCGAGTCTCTGTAGGGTAGCCGAATCCGAATCGTATTCGTGGTTGTGTGGTTTACTTCCGAGGGAAAGAGTGTTGTCTGTGAGAGCAAGGTAGCAGTGCCAGTGGCAGGGACATTTAAGAGATTTGCTCTTCTGGCAACGCCAAGCAGAGAAGATGGAAGAGGACGGTGTCATCAGATTTCTTCCTGCAGTAGATGTATCCGTCAGAATCAAGCACCTGTTCATGACATCCTCTGAAACCATTGAGGAACTTAGACTTGGAGAACGTAGGCATGACTATTTTTGATAGAAATAGAATGCGACAGTACTACCTTCTATCTTCCAGTATATAATTATATAGTTATACCTAAGAACACTTGATCGGCTCACTCCCCTTGCATGCCTTTGGCACGTATGTCTGACATCCCTTGATACGAGACCCCCCCCCCCCCCCCCCCCTTTAGCAACAGCTCCCGTCCCTTATGTGATCTACGAGTCGAGCAGTCAGATCATGTTTACTTCTTTATGTACAGCTATGATTTACAGAATTGACATGTGAACTCTACTACCCCAGATCTAGCCCATTTCTATGTCAATTATATTAGAGTCACTATTGTGACGGTACATTAGAACCAGAAAGAAACAAAGTGTGAAGGCCTGAACGGAACCCCTCGGTTTCAGTTCCTTGTTTAACACTGCCATACAGCAAGGACATCCACCGGGTTCTCCAAGGATGTGCACATAGCTCACTCCACACTATGCTCTGTCAAATGTTGCTTATATACCAATGATCTAAAGGAAATATTTCCTTGTAAGTTTAGAGGGCGATCTGTGAACAGACAACTACCTCATTCCCAACTATGTCTATAGGTACTAGAATTCCTATACTATCCCAACGAGCTACACCAAGCATAGTTTCAATCTATGGATCACATCACTAATTATACGTCACTATTTGGTGATGTGATCCGACCCCTCTTGGGGGCCAGATCAGTTTCCTGACCCAAAGTATCCCAGTGGTTTTTAGCTTATAACTGGAAAACTATATGACTTGAGACCTTCTACCTGGGGACCTCAGGCTATCATGTTCATAAACATACCGAATAGAGATTAGGCAGAATGACAGGCTGAGCGCCGCCCATGCAGTAAGAGACCTTGAAACCTTTATTCGCCCCTTTTAATGTGCTCATTCTGGTTATTTTGATGTGTTAATTGACCTCAATTAGTCAATTATAAGACGAGTTAAATAATTTTAAGCATGCGTCAGTCGCGATTGGGTAACTCAACTTCAAAGCGTCCTGAAGGTTTATGCCCAAGCTAAAACAGGCGAAATTGAGTTACTAATACCTTGATAAAGGCCTGTGCTTCAAGAAAAATTCTTCTCAAATCGTGCAGATATTCTACAGATTTTGTGCATAACTGACTGTACTACTACTAGTGGTGTTGGGCAGGATCAGGACTGCTTCCACTCGAGTTTTAATGAAGAAATTTTTAAATAATAAAAATAAATTTTTAAAATTTTTCATAAATGATCTCCCTGATGGAATTGAGAGCTTCGTATCACTCTTTGCGGACGATCTTAAGCTAGTAACGAGCACAGCTAAGCACAGTGTTGCACAAGATGATATACTGAAACTCAATGCGTGGGAGAAGGAATGGCTCCTAAGATTCAATGTGAAGGATGGCAAGTGTAAGGTACTACATATTGGGCGTAACAATCCAATGCACGAGTACTTCATGAATGGGGAACGCCTCCCCCAAGTGAAGGCAGAAAAGGATCTTGGAGTTCTAACTACCAGAAACCTGGACTGGAGTGATCATATAGATAAGTCCGTGAAAAAAGCAAAGTCTGTTATAGGCTGGATCAAACGAAGTTTGATCTGCCGTAACAAATTTGTTATGCTAAATGTCTACAGAACTCTAGTTCGACCTCACATCGAATACGCTGTGCAAGTGTGGAATCTACCAGCAGAGCACGGAAACTGGAGGACTATTAAGAAGATAGAAGACGTTCAGAGAGAATTTACACGAATAATCGACGGGATTGGTATCCTACCATACGATGAGAGACTGAGAATCCTCCAGTTAACAACACTACTGGAGCGCCGTATGAGGGGTGATCTTATTGAAACCTTTAAAATAACGACGGGTAAAGTGGACTATGGACAAGATCTTTTCAGGATATCACGTAGCGGTACCAAGATCCTAAAAGATAAAAGAGGAAATCAGGTCCTCAGTAACCGTGTTGCCAATTACTGGAACAAAGTACCAAGTTCGGTTAAAGAAGCCAGTTCAGTAGACGCATTCAAAGCTCGACTTCAATGTTATAAAAATGAACTGATAGCGAGTGGAGCATCGTCAAAGGGTCACTTCTGGGATCTCAGCGAAACCTTGATGTCAAAAATAAATACATGTGAGCATGATTCATATGCACATTTCATGTCTAATAACCCATTGATTGCTAAATACCGAGGAATCAATGTTTCTTGATTGTTAAATTCAGAACTACATGTTAACGTCCTAAAAATAATTAATCATTAAATGTTCCGGATAGGAACATTTTTCTTTTTGATAATATTGTGCGAACTGCAATAGCGTAGAGTGCAGTTGGGTTTCAAGTTTTGTCGAGATGGCCATGTGGCCATAATCCTATTATTATTATAAAGGGTCTCAATAAGAGGTCTCGACTGCCTAGGCGTCAGACCTTGGCAGTCGGTAGTTTTCTTCTGGCCCGGGATCAGCTGACCCTAGGGACCAGAGGATAAAGGTGTAGAAACTATATGTATCTACAAAACTTTCAAGGTTGTTTTTACAAGAGACAGGGCTTGCTGCGCAAGGGAAGAAAAGCGGGAGAAACACTCACAAATTATACAAATAAATATTATAAAACATAGCAAAAAGAAATTCAAACAATCCTACACTACTACAAATGTTTATTACATACTACAATGTGATACATGATAATTATATGCTGTATAGACAAGAAACAGGGCTTGCAGGGCAAGAGATGGATCAAAGGGACTAGTCACAGAGTGTAATATACAGTGATTCAGCAAGAACCCATTGCTGAATCTGGCACACAAAATACCACAATCAAAACAAAAATATACAATATTATATCAAACAATATGTTTATACAAGAATCAGGGCTTGCAGAGCAAGAGAAGAAAAATAAGAGAAAACTACCATCAACTGTATATACCGTAGTCCATCAGATAGGTAATCATTACTAATACACTTATTATTATTATTATTAAAGCCCAAATATTACAGTGAAAAGAGAGAGCCAAAAATTCGGGCATATTTTATTTCAGTGAAATATTTGAGTGAAAATTTGCCCATGGAACTAGATGGTAAATCCTTATGATATAGGGGTTGTTCACCCCTTAGACTTAGAGATAATTTTTATCACCGAAAAACAGGCCATTTTTAAACAGCATGTATGTGATAATTTCGGTAATTTTTATAACTCAGTAATATCGCTCCGTTAAATATTTATTTCCAGTTTTTACAGTAAATTCGGGTTTCTTTTCATCTTATTGTACCCCAAACCAAAGTATTGAAGTATGTTGCTGTCTCGTCTTCATAAATTGAAACCCATCCTTTCATCTACAAAACAGTTGCTGTTTCGTTCTCATTTTCCTAGTGGAAGACACCTCAGTGAACTTGTCAAACTAACAGAACACGGTATCAGAGACAACGACAGAGACCTCCTGCACGTGGAAACACGGAATATGTGCCGCTGTGAAACCTGCTTCGGCAAACACAATCACCAAAAAACAGGACAACCGTTCAGAACTGGGAATCTTCATCCTGGGGTGAAGGTTACTGATATAGGGAACGTTTCAGAGCACTATGTAAGTCTGACTTGGAGTGATGGACACACAGGGCTTGTTGCCAGGACAATTCGTGGAGAGTACGGTCCTGAACCAGTCCCAACAATCCTGGACAAGTATCTTGACCTCAGTATGAGATACAACAGGTGCCAGGAGTTTTGGAGCGCTAAAACGGACGAAAACTCCAAGGTATTCGACTACAACACAGTTATAAGCAGTGTGGGAAATACAAGAGATTTTCTAGCTCACTACATGATCCATGGTGTAGGATTTCTGACAGAAATACCTGCCAACAAAGAAATGCTCGATATCATCGCTGATTTGAAGTGTGGGCCGATAAGGGAGACAATATTTGGAGGGGTGGATGTGGTGAGGGTTAAACCTAATCCTGCCAATGCTGGGTATGGTAGTGGGAGCCTAGCTGGTCACACGGATCTGAACTATTACTACCAGGTATTGATCGAGGTTCAATTTTATTTTGACATTTTGTGTTCATGATTTTTATAATCTCCACAAATAAAAGCTTTTTCTATATTATCATCTATATTATCCTCTTTGTCTGTACTAGCTATTATTGAATTTAAGCTATGTTTTCATTCTCAGTTTTTCAGAATCCCCATGTAGAGTTCTTCCATGCTATGGAGAACACGGTTGAGGGAGGAGATAGTTTCTGGGTTGACACCTTCTCAGCAATCTCAGAAGTCCGAGAAGAGAGACCAGACTACTTTGATATCCTGTGCAGAGTGCCAATATACCACAGATTCACCCCACCCGGTACAGACCACTACGTCAGAAGTCACCACACCCTAGTGACCATGTTAGGAGAGGATATTTTCCAGATAAGTGACAACCCCTGGTCCACAGACACACCTCTAGCTACATACACCCTGGATCTGGAGACTCGGAGACAGTGGTGGGAGGCGTACCTGTACTACAGAGCCAAAGTGGAGGATCAGAGTAGGTGGATCATGAGAAAGTTAGAGGGAGGGGAGGTTGTAGTGCTGGATAACTTCAGGGTTTGTCACGGGAGGAAGGAGTTTGGGAGGACGGAACAGGGGCAGGAGAGGATGGTCGGGACGGCTTATGTTAATTGGAATCATCTCCAGAGGGTCTTGCTGAGCCCGGTGGAGGCTGAACCGTGCTTTCTTGAGACAGAGAAACATTGACTGTGTCAGTGTGTCAGATGTATTATAATTATAAATTGATCATCTGTTGAGTTAAGATCAGTCATCTGCTGGTAAATCAAACTCTTTGCATTCAAATATCTTGGTTTGATTTGAAAATTGCATCATAAAATATCTCATCGTGTTTTATTATATTGTAGTCACTTACCTGACTCACTGCACCAGGAACAATCAATTGGTCGCACTTACTGAAACATATGACCCTAAATTCTTTGAGAGTTTGAGCTGTCATGTGGTGACGAAACGATACGAAACACTGAATTTACTACCCCCCTACTATGCGACAAAGATATTGTATTTTTTATTTGAAAATTCAATTAATTATTTGACCAAAACCCATAATCAATAATCATGGGTAGAGTGGACCGCTGCCAGTGTCTCTCTGCTCTCTTTCCCAAACAAAATGAAGTGATATTAATTTGATTGACCGTTCTCAAATGCAAATGATACCGAGAATGAAATCGGTCGCTCGCTTTTCCCATATATGTATATATATGTCCCGACAATCTGTCGTAAAACAGGGGTTCAAGAAAACCCATTTCCCGATGCTCCTGAAACCTGAAACCTTTTTTGCAGTCGATTGGGGCAACGTCTAGACGCCCTGCAAAGTTTCATATCTCTAACTCAATTGTGACATGGTTTTTAAGGCACCTGAATATGGCGATTTTGGGTTTTTTACCGAATTTCGTATAACAGTGCTGGCACGTATTTTATGCAAATTTCTTAAAAATCTCCACATAACTATTTCTTATTCCTGTCATCTTTGACATCAAATTAGAATGTTTTGAACTAAAAATAAATCTGCCGAACGACTTCGGATGAGTCTTAATGCATGAAAAACTCCGGCCGGAGTGCACGCTTCGCGTGCACGAAAGAGGCTTGTAATTACGTGTACCAAAGGGGGTATAATTATAGTAAAGGGGGTACATAGTATACGCACATAAAGGCAACGGTCGTGCTTGCCAGCACTGTGATTATATACCTTATCGGACCTTATTTGGACGGACATTACTTGAACGCTGGAGGCCCTAGCGTTCATCTTAATGTCCGTTCAAATAAAGTCCGTTCAATTAATGTCCGTCCAAGTTAAAGTCCGTTGAAATTTTTTCAAAAATTTTTCCATTTCGAACTTTTTGTCCAGAATATGACAACTTTGAGAACTTTATTGTGCCGTAAGTTAACGACGGAAAGGTTCTCCTTGGTCTGCACTGCCGGAGGCACAGAAAACTTTACTAGTATATGATGTTTTCAAGGGTCACTTGGTGGAAAAAAGTCAACAAAATTATGGCACTCAACAGTCAACAACATAGTTCATGAGCTAGTCCCCGCCAACATGACAAACTTGTTCCAGCCTCTAGATATTACGGTAAATCGTGATTCGTGTTGCCAAGGACATTGTCCGACGTTGTTATAGTTCATATTACTGAGGGGAGGTAATGAAACAGTGCTAGGAAAGCTCTACGTGATGTTAAGGTTAACCTAAAGTTGTCTAAGATAAAACCATTTCACGCCGAATGGCTTGTAAAAGTTAACAATGAAATGCAGGACCGGGGTAGTTTGATAAAAAAGGTTTCCACAAAGCTAGAAATCACTGATGCTTGTTTAAGCATGGACTATTTCATGCACGAAAACCCATTTAATGAATATGATATGTGATATTAGACACTGATCATGTACACATATTTTAACATTTTTACTGCTTAATGACTGCTTTTCTTACTTATTGTATGAAAAATGGATTAAAAATCATTTGCTGAAATTAAAAAAAAGTCAAAAAACTGAAAAAAATTCGGATTTTTTATGGTTTTGAATGCCTTCGAGCGTTCATATTAATGTCCGTTCACAATTATGTCCGTTCATGTAATGTCCGTCCAAATAAGGTCCGATAAGGTATATAAATCAAGCGTTACATTTCAGCCATGCAAAATTACAATGACATATTTTGATATACTAATTGAAAAATGGTGCTGCAATATAAGATGCTTATTGTTGATTGTGTGGCCGGATGACAACTAACTAGAAAAGAAAAATAAACTTGATTATATAATAATTAATTCGGCTGAACCAACACATAGCAAGAGCCACATTAACGTTGGGGCCGTATAAAATATAACTAAATAATTTACACAATACGGTTGGGGCCGTATAAAATATAACTAAATAATTTACACAATACGGTGCCCATGTCTGAGCGGCTCTCCTCAAAATACTTTTTCTCTTCATCGGAGCCGAAAGTTAAAAACAAAACACGGATCTCATAAAATCAACAAACACTAAATAATGTTAAACTTAAAGAGATAATATCAGATTAACTGTCGCAAAAAATTTTAACAGTTTACATACAATTTACTTGATCTTATTGACACACCGAGAAAAACTTAAAAAAAAAAGAAATGGATACTCGAAAAAATTACACAAAAAAGACAATAATAAAATCAAAAATGTAAGGCGCGTTACCTGAACCATCATGAAAATGTGATTTTAAACTATATAAGCGACAGTGACCTTATGATATAGGGGTCGTTCACCCCTTAGAGATAATGTTTTTCTGGCCATTTTTTTGTAGCGCGATGCACTACTGGGTCGCGCGCGCGCATCAATAATGCAGATCGGCGAGATGCGAAGGATGACATCGTGAATCAAGCCATTTTTTTGGAGAACGAGGTAGGTTGGTTTAAATATGTCGTCAGTCCTTACTTCTTTACTGCCGTTCGTTACCATGGCGTTTTAATTCGCGTTTTTGACACCACTTGGGGGTCCAAATTGTGGGCACTAAAATTCTTATTCTTTGGCCAATTTTTTAAAGGCCATTAAAGCATTTGAACCAGTCAAAAAAAGTCGTGTTAAAGATGATGCCGTGGTGTCAGTAAAATGGTTCGGATGTATAAACATGTATATATATCGTCTCGCTTTGCCTTTAGAAAGGACTACTATAACACTTGGGACAATAATATTCAAATACTAATAGGATCCTGTTGACTCCTATTGCAGGATATTTATGGGAGCAAATAAAACGTCAGTACTTTGCAGTGAAGGTAAACTATTTGCAGTGTAGTTTAACTATTTGCAGTGAGGGACTGTCACGTGAATGAATCACGTCTAGGTTTTTAGATAGGACCAATTGGGAGCTTACAATGATATTTTTTAAATAGGATTTATCTGCAGTTAAATTAACTAAAGTAAAATGTACATTTAGACGGTCTGCAGAGTCAAACTGTATGACGTCATAGTAACCCTTTTTATAGTAATCAAAATATAAAGTCCTTAGTATCTGCTACAATTCATTCATTTTTGCACCCTCTTAGAGATCTATAATTGCTGTGACTGTGAAGTATACACACTGAGCTCTTTGTTTTAATATTAATGTTTGACGGATCATCGGAGCTTAAATAGTTGGTACGATAAACTGAAATCTTCAAACATATGGTTTCTTGTTATTAAGCGAATCGTCTGGTACTATACACACTGAGTGTAATCACTGAGTGTAAACAAATATATGGGACACACCTTATAGTTATAATATTAGGAACACTTAATTAATAACTGGTTTTAGCAGCGTTATATAAGTATAACCGATATATAAGTATAACCGATATATAACCGATGTCCCTCACGTTCTGTCAGGTCTGTTACTATAGCAACGTCCGGGGAAAAGTTAAAGAATTTAACATAGAATCTTGTTCAGTCTTTAAAATCATACCTCCAGTAAGCAAACAAGTATGGTAAAAACATTACTGCCACTGACTACAAGTTTGCCACTGACTACAGGTTTGCCACGTTAGTGGCGTAATACAAAGGCCGGCGCCGCTGACCCCGCTTAGCTGTGCAGGGGGCACTATCTTAGAAGGTGCAAAATTGTCGTTCGCGTTTGAATGTGGGACAATTTTGAAAAAATTAGCTTTTTAAAAGATTTTACCGTGTATCCTCTAAAATCACCTAATTTGTTCAATTGCAATTTTATTACCTGAGTGCTGAGGACCCCAGGCTTTAATGTTGTTAAACAATAGAGATTAGGCGGAATGACCGGCTGAGCGCGGCCCAGTAAGGCGAGGCCTAATGGTGCATTGGTGCATCTACGTGGTTGCGAGAAGAATTGTTTGATGCGCGGCACGGCCCAGTACTAGTGCATCTTACCTGAGGACCCCAGGCTATTATGTTCATTAACGAACGAATAAAGATTTGGCGGAATGACAGGCTGAGCGCGGCCCAGTAATAGTGCATCGCGCTACAAACTTGTAAAATGCAGCAATTTCATTGGACGGGAGCAACTGCATATCATGAGGTTAACAATTAATTGCTTATGGCGACAAATGGTTACTGGGCCGCGCTCAGCCGGTCATTCCGCCTAATCTCTATTAACAACATTAAAGCCTGGGGTCCTCAGGTAACACGCTACACGTCGCACGCTACTTTTAAAAACTTTGGACGAGTATCCTCCGTCATTAACTTATTATAACCATTGATACAAAGGCCATAATCTTTCGCCAGCTCTCCAATATCTACCTTGAAGCTGCACTTTATATCCTTGAACTACACAATATAAACTAAAGTATGTTTTAGTGTAGACTTTTTGTCACAACAAGACTGCAACCTATAGTAACAACTATAAACAAAACACCTAATGTCTACTAACAAATTTCTTGTAGTCCTAATATGAGCCTTGTCTCTAAAAACCTAACTGAACTAGCGTTTCGGTGTGTGCAAAAGCTTTCACATGTCAGGCACGCGCATTCCTTGCCCCGTTAGTTACCTGTCCAGTGTCCTTCCAAACCCAAACTAGCAGTCTGCAGTCAAGGACAAAAAGTCACACACTAAATGGGCATTATATATTATGAATTATTTTACATCTTTTTAGTCTGTAAAATGTGCTAAAATTAAATTTCTTGTTTCATCGAAAATTTCTTGTTTCATTGATTAACTGTACAATTATTTAATCGCTGTCATGTCACTGGTAATATTGAATTAAAGTCAAATGCTATCTTTTG